TAGTGTGCGAGCATGCCTTGGTGCTCCATCGCTGCCTATCGCCACCGAAGGACTACCATCCTAGCTAGAATCGGTCGTGCCGAGCTCGTCCTCTGCTCTGTTCTATTTCGAGAGAAAGAAGAAGAAGGGTGAAAGTGGAAATAGAAACTCTTTCTTGGTTCTAGATGGAAAATGCCCAGGGATATTAGTTTACATATATGCGCTTAATTTATTAGAGGAAAGTCTAGTGTTCACTTTGCAAAAATGTTTTTCCTTTTGTTTTTCAGATTATTGCTTTTAATCGCTTGAAAATTTAGAAAATCATAATAAATCGTAGCAAAATTGAAAAATAGCAAATGAAGACTTTTTGGAATTCTTGAGAGTAGATCTATGCAATAGAGTCATAATATGATATGCGTTAGTAGAAGGTTTTTGTTGTTTTTATTTATCTATATTAATTAGGGTTTTCGAGGAATAAATTCATATCTAATGTTGTGGTACTCGAATTGCTGTGAAAATTTTGTGGTAGGCTAATGAAGCTATATTTGTGCTATGGTAAAAATTTCAGGTTCATTGGATGAAGTAAGATTGATTTATTGATTTAACTTTTTTATTGCTTGATAAATTGTTTTAAATAAGTTATAATTTTTATGTAGGTGTAAAAATAGAAAATGTGATTCCACTACCTTTGTATGATGTTGTGCTACCATAATAACATATAATATGGCCATGTGTTTGTAGAAAGTAGTGTGTTTTAGATTTATCCAGCTCTCACATGTTTTCTTGCATTAACAATTTGTTTTTTTTTGTAATAATTAATCTATAAAACCTAAGCATGTGAAATTTGTGCAGTAAACATGTTTTGATAACCTCTACCACTCATAAAAGTCTCAGACCCAAACTAGTTGTTCTCATTTTGAACTAAAAATAATACATATGTTGCATTATTAAAGTAGAGGATGAATGTTGTGAGCATATACTTGTATTTATTGTCATGTGATACTTCTAGTAGCTATTCCTATGATTGTTTGAGTAGAATTTCAAGATTTTTGGGGTAGCATATATGTCAAGAATATGTTAGTTTGTAGCAACTAAATGATAGATGAATGCAGTATGCCTGTGTTGTTTGGGCTGCTTGTATAGTTTTGGTTAAATAATAGTGAAAATTAGGATTTCTGTGGATATGGTGAATACAAAAGTTGCAGATAATTTCTTTGTCTTGCTTGTCCTAAAATTTCATGATTTTAGGCCTAATGATTTATGAGTTATAGATTTTAGAAATTTGCTGTCAGGTTTTGCATGTCCTCTGGACATATCTGAATGATTGTATTGTTTTCCTTATGTAAACATGGAATCATGTATTGGTGATAATAGGAGAGTTGTAGTGTTTTCCTAATCTTTCTAAAATGTCTAAGATCAATGTTTTGGTGGTCTAGAACTCGAGTGATTGCTATTCAAAGCGAAATGGCAGATTCTGTCTAAATCTGGACAGATATGCCTTCTTGATGTTGTTTAACCTTGTTAGCTATAGAATCATCTTAAGATGATAATAAAAAATTTATGGATAACATAATAATATTTCTATAAAGTTAAGGATCATGCTTGTTGGATGAATATAACTTGAGACATGCATTTCTGAAGTTACTATCAGTTTTCTGTCCTTAGTTGTATAAGCTTTTCTTCATGATGTATTTTGACCTTGTTATTTGTTGAATCAACTTTTGGTGTTAATAACAAAGTTTTAGATAATTTTATTAGCTTTCTATAAAGTCTAGGATCACACTTTTTGCATGCCTAGAACTCTAGGTATGGTTAAAACAAATGACTGTGGTGCTGCTGTTCAGAATCTGTGTTTATACCTAAAATTGTTTGCTTCACCTTGCTTTGCTTTGTGTGTTGCTAAGTGTGGCTCATGCCTATGATGGTGTTAAGTTAATATACCTAAAAACTTGTGCAACTTGTGTTATGCTTGGTGCTGCCTTCCTTGCTATCCTAGCATGATAGGTTGTGTGATGCTTAATTAAGTAACGTGGAGTGCTTATATATGTTCAGTGTAACCTTGTGCTCATCTTGAATACTTTCATGTGAGGCGTCTTATATTGTTATTCTTCGCATTCATGCACTTGCATTGTTGCATCTCATCTAGGTACGCTAGATGCACCATGTGAAGGATGTGATGTTGGAACCGAACCCGAAGATGGAGTTTGGTAAATCCATCCAGAAGACGGAAGGACTTAGCAAGTGCTGAGATGGGAGATGCTCGCCAAGCGAGTGTCATCTAACAAACACTAACCTAGTGTTAGATCCCAAGCAAGCCCCGGAGCATTCTAAGCCTCTTATGTTTTTACAAATATCACTTGCGTCCTTTATGTTTGATGCATTAGGTTATAAGAGTTGGTTGAAAACACTTGATGCATAGAACTACCTTGTCCAGAAATATACCTTGAACCCTGTGTAGGTCCAGGATCAAATATATGCTTAGCCATGCTTAGACTGGTGGAAGTCGGGTGATTTCCTGTCACCCGTGAGATATAGGTGGATACCGAAGCACGGTTGGCTATATTTGCTATCGTGGAATAGAACCATGGGGTAATGTAACTTGAGGCCAGGTGGAGTCTATGTGTAGGTTGACTCATGTGATTCCGTCTGTACCGGTTAAGGACCGTACCGCTGTTGTCACTTCTATCGAGATTGAATGCATGCCTCTCACTTAGCCTCAACGTCCTGGCAGGTGGTTGTCCCTTATTGTGCGGTGCTGGTCAAACCCACAAAATGTGAACTTGAGTTGTACCAAAGGTGACCGTTGATCTGGTCTGCCTGGGTTTGTGTTAGGAATAAATTCCTAGCTGGATGAAATCGATTCGAATCGTCGTCTCTCTCGGACAGTGAGAAACTTAGCTAGCTCCAACATCGTAGTAAGTGTATTATGAAATGATGGTTATGAAGAACAGGGAATTACTACACCGGCTATGGTTATTATTGTTATGCTACTAAATGATATAGCACATGTTTGGCACAGGTTAGATGCTAATCTAGAGATGAATAGTTATAATTAACTTGAGGACCAAATTATAAAATGTATAGCTGAGTTAGTGGCTTTTTATGTAAAATGTTGTCAAGCTAGATCCACTTATAAAGCCTTGCATAATCCTTGGTGTCACTTTATTTCTAGTTTATGACGGGTAAGTCTAGCTGAGTACATTCGAGTACTCAGGGTTTATCCCACCATGTTGCAGGTAAAATTCTCATCCTGAGGAACATGGTGGCTCACTGCTGGTGGGCTCGGTGACTCTATATTTATTTCTCATCTACATGTTTTTATCAGAGGAGATCGCTTATACTAGTATTGTATTTGGAACTTATATTAATGTAATCATTTGAAAGTTATGTTGTTTTCCTTTAACCGGTTTTGAAACCCAAACTTGTACTATTATTTGTGAACCCATTTGTAATATTATTTTCGCTGTAACTCTGTGTATGTGATTTGTATTTGCTTAATCATGCGATCTTGGTTATGATGTTGATTTACCGAGGACCTCCATGACACTCGACGGACTACCAAGTTTATATAGGTGAAAGTATGCGCCTGTCAACGTGTTAAACGGGGATAGCCGTACTTGATCTTGTATAAATTGAGCGGTTCTATCACAAGGAGAATGCAAATGGGGGCACTGTCTTATCAATTGGCCAACAGTTTCCAAACCAAAGAACCTTGGTGGATTGGAGGTGTCTGACTTGGACAAATTTGGGAGAGTGTTGTGCCTGCGATGGCTATGGCAAGATTGGGTGGATGACTCAAAGCCATGGGTTGGGGTTGAATTGCCTTGCAAGCCGGCTGATAGATTGCTTTTCAATGCCTCGACCATCGTCACTATTGGAAATGGAGCGAAAGCGCAGTTTTGGCACAACAGTTGGCTAGATGGGGAAGCCCCCAGAAATCTAGCGCCACATCTCTTTCAGCTAGTCAAAAGGAAAAATAGATCGGTCCAACAAGAACTTCAAAATAACAAATGGATTCGCTCCCTCCAAGGCAAGATCACAACGGCCACCCAAGTGGAGGAGTTTGTATCTGGCGAATTCAGAACATCCATTTACAGCCACACATGCAAGATTCCATCGCTTGGAAATGGACCCCCGATGGTGTATACTCCACCCAGTCAGCATACCGCATCCAGTTCCAAGGGAGTTTCAGGCAATTCTGGCTAGAACTAATTTAGAAAGCACACTCAGAGAACAAATGCAAGCTCTTCGCTTGGATTCTCATACAAAATAAAATCCTGACAGCAGACAACTTGCAGCTAAGGAATTGGCCACACCAGGAGCATTGTGTCATGTGTGATGGCCCTTTAGAGTTTGGCCTCCGTTTGTGCTTGCTGTGTCCCCTTGATAAAGAAATCTAGGGCCTCATCTTAACCTGGGAGCATTATGATGCTGACCTCATATGCACGTAGACCCAACCACTTGAAATCGGCGCTTGGTGGGAACAACTGGCTGCCAAGATTCCAAGGCAAAGGCGGCGACACTTCAACGGGGTCGTAATCTACACGTTCTGGAACATTTGGAAGAAAAGGAATAGGAGGATTTTCTAGAATAGCTTCATGGACGCAAGGCAGGTGGCCTCTACAGCCAAAGAAGACATCGAACTACACGGGAGGGTGTTTAATAACAATTTCAGTTAGTCCCCACTTTTGCTGGTGCTCCCCTAGCGGAGAGTTCAGTGTGCGCCCTTTGGGGCACTCAGGCCTTTGGCCTTTCTGTACATAAACTCTTATTCTTATCTTAATTGAGAGACAGAGCTCCTGCCATGTTTAAAAAAAAAACTACTTAAGTAAAGGCACAATATGTAGAAAGAACGCATCATCAGCGAAATCTATGCAGTACTGAGCAATGGAAGTCCAATAATAAACCCAGGTAGCACATCGTAAGATAAAGGAAAATTCTACAAACTAATCAGATTACCAAATACACCAACGCTGGAAAGGAACAAACATACCACTGAGCCACTAAGTACCAATATGAGGTTACTGCATTCTCTGAGTTACCATGCTCTGAAAGCGCTCTAAAATTTTTTCAGCATCAAGATCTTTCGATATGTCTTCCTCAATGTAGTACACAGCAAAGTCACTCAACCAATCTATAGGTATTTCATTGCACATATCAGTAGGGATAATGTTAACTGCTGAAGAAATCCTTTCAACCGATGCTGTCGCGACTGGTAACAACAATGCTAACTCAAGGAGGCGATACACCAAAGGGAAAATAATATGTTGTTTGGTTTCAACCATTTTTGCAGCCAAACTTGCAATATCACGACAGAAAGTAAATTCAACGTGTGTTCTCACATAGCAAATATAGGCTTCAAGTTGATCCTTCATAAGTGCACGATCAGCCTCAAGGAAATCTTCAGAATAAATATCAGCAAGTTGAGCAATTTTCTCCACATCAAACTGGGAGAAGTTCCTCTTTGGATCAAGGCAGGAAAATCGCACTAACAAATCCATGGAAACATCATTGAAACGATGGGACATCTCTGTTCGAATGGAGTCAATAGCAGCAAAGAAAATCTGGACACGATAATAATGAAGCTGAGACACAGTTATCCCACTTAGCCGTGAATGGCCCATACTTGGTATGTGTTCATCCATATTTGGTACTAGAATTTCATTTGCAGCGCAAAATTTTTTGACATCTTCAAACAATGCATCCCAGCCATTATCCCTCAAGGTTTTCAAGCACTCATTCACATCCACAAGCAACCCCATAGCCTGACTGATGTCTTGGTCTTTTTGTTGTAAAATAAGTGATAGTTCATTAATAATGGCAAACAATTTTAGCATCATCTTTAATATGAACACAAATTCAAAGCTTTCTATTGTTTCTATAGAAACTGATGCTCGAGAATCAGGACAGCCATGTTTATCTACAATCATTAGCACATTGTGTCAATACGGCTCAAGGTTGTCTGATACGAGCCCCATTTCGTCTCTCCTGGTACTTCTTGATGCTTGTCTCTCTTTGGGATTACACCACTCTCCAATTTATCCAAAATTGTTTGGTGACACTTTTCAGCATCCTTTGTCATGCAAGATGCACTCATGGCAGTCACAATCACAGGAACATTGTAGAAGAAATAAGAAATTGCTGCTGAAGAAGAACTTGAGACTGAAACAAGTATTGATTCCAGCTGGGAAGCAAAGCAATGGACATAAAAAGCATATGGATGTTCACCTCGTATCTGTCTCTGCAGGTCATTAAATTCTCCTCTCATATTTGACTGACCATGATAGCCCTGCCCTCGTATCCTAGAAATGGATAAACCATGCCGAACAAGAAAGCCAACCAAACATCCCTGAATAGCAGTTAGTGTAGTATCTTCGACCGACTCAAGACCGAGAAACCTTTCAATGACCTTCCCTTGCTTATTCACAAATCTTCACGACAAAAATTACAGTAAGTTCAGAAAGCACAGAAAAAGATATAAAAGCCTGTAAATAGAAAGATACTAACTGATACTAACCTCAGAATTATGCCCATCTGCTCTTTGCTTGAAATGCCATGAGTATCATCAATAAGTATAGAGAAACGGCCATCTCCAATCTCTTCCAGAATCACCTGGATGACCTCTTCTGCGCAGGCTTTTACGAGGTCTTTCTGGCACTACGTGAAAAACGGTTTGTAGCAACGGGATAAAAATTTTTTAGGGGTGGCTGGTGATAGAGCCGCCCCTACAGTGGCGTGTTCGAGATCCACGAGACTAGCCGCCTCTACAAATGGAACAGTAGGGGCGGCTGGTGATACGAGCCGCCCCTACAAATGGATAGGATTTGTAGGGGCGGCTCACTCACCAGCCGCCTCCGATGTTGCTATTTGTAGGGGCGGCTGGTGATTAAGCCGCCCCTACAAATGGAACAGTAGGGGCGGCTGGTAATACGAGCCGCCCCTACAAATGCGTGGCTGCTGGACGAGCGCGGACCTGAAAAAATTATCAAATCCGGTGAACCGAAGAGGTCAGGTCCACACTTTATCCAAGCCTCGTCCTCTCTCCTCTCTCCTGCCCCGTCCTCTCTCCTCTTCCTCTCCCTCCCCGCCGTCGTCGCCACCTCTCTTCCTCTCCTCTCCCTCCGCCGTCGTCGCCTCTTCCTCTCCTTACGCTATGGTTCCGTCTTCCTTCCATTCCCCCACCCCACCGGTGACCGGTCCACCCCTGCCGGAGAGTTGTTGCTAACACCGCATAGGTCTACGTGCAGCTGGCCCCGTCCGATCCCCAGTAACCCAGTGGACTCTGCCTCCCCCAGATGGACTGCGTGGTGCGGCGCCCCCGTTCCCGGTGACCACACCAGGCTACCACCCAACTGCAGCGAGCTGAGCGGGAGGAGGGACCGGCGCACTCAGGCTGGAGATGAGAGGCGGATCCAGACCGGCCCCGGTCGCCCTGTTTCTCCTCTCTGCCTCCATGATCTGCGCCCAGTTCACTACAGGTTCGCGCTCTTGATCTGCTTGTTGGCCGTGGGATTCGGGGCTGTTGCGGGAGAGGGTTACAGCGAGATCTAGTTCAAGGAGGGGTGGGGGATTGGGGAATCGCTACCACGATTATTTGCCTTGAATATATTCCGATTCCCTGCTGTATTTTGTGAGTCTAATTGAATTGTAGACGGCACATTCGTTGACAATTATTGGGTGGTTGGGGAGGGATAAATTTGCTGTCTCCGGTGGGAGTTTGTGAAGTTATGTATGACGAGTTTATAATCTTCAAGTTCAGGAGATTGGAGGCTTACGTGGCCTGATCCCAAGGGATCCCGGTTTCAGCTTCTGTACCCGCTAATATCCTTTGCATCTTACATATATCCTTTGCCAACATTTAAATTTTGTATTGCTTTATTTATTTTAAAGCTATCACAAGTTATGTAGATGTATGTTGTGTGCAGTTACAGGTAAATTTTCTCACTGATTTTGGACCATGAAACCTGCTAAATCAGTCCCTCAAATGAGTATAAAGATGTTGTTTATAGTATTTAGCACCCTGGATGCACACCTAGAACATGCAGTTAGTTTGATATTTTTTTAATAAGCCTAGCATGTTGTTTAATTTGGGGATAAAATTCTGTTTATGGATCTAGATTTATTTGGTGGCTGATTAGGAAGGCTACTTTCATTGATCACTATTGTGAAATTGCAGGTTAGTGAACTCTTGGCGTGGAGGAGGATAAAGTATCTCCATCTTACATCACAGAGTGAGTTTTTTAAATGACGAACCTGTTAGCTTTTGTACATTGATGTTGAGTTTCTGGACCTGAGGATAGCCAATAACAATGCAAGTATCCAGCCTGTCTTGTTTTTCTCAATTCACATCTCTTGCTAAACGCTTCCATGACTTGTGAGATTCCTGCAACATTTTGTTGGCTCCTTCCTGTGTGCAGAAACTTGAATGACTTGGCATATTCGTCATCATGAGCCCTTGTATTGGTAGGCATATATGAATCAAAGTATGAACTGTAACTACCAGAAGCTCAAGTCAGTTAGCTTCAAAACAGATACCAGACTTCAAATTTACATGCTGTGTGCAGTCTCATAGTTTAAATGAACAGCAAGCACGATAATTTGCACCGTGTATTGTCATGAAATATTTGTTATAATCTGGTATAAATAAAAGTGTATTGTCATTGAGTTTCAGTACAATCGCAGAAGAAGATAAGTCATGATGGAGTTGTGCATAAAAAATATATGTTCTGGTCGAATTTGAATTGTAAATTTAATTTTTTTTAGCAGAAAAATGATTTGTAGGGGCGGTTGGTACTGTAGCCGCCCCTACAAATCGATTTGTAGGGGCGGCTGGTGTTCCCAGACCACCCCTATAAATCGATTTATATGGGCGGCTACAGTACCAATCGCCCCTACAAATCAACGATTTATAGCCACCCTTTCATAGGGGCGACTGGCAAAACCGCCCCTACAGAGCGTTACCAGCCGCCCCTAGAAACGTTTGTCCCTTGTAATTCCCCACGTTTAGGTTCGACATAGAGCCATAGGCCGATATCGCTTGGTAGACCAGGTGTAGGCTGGTGCCCGAAGTAAGTGAGTAATAGTAGAATTTATCTATCCTTAGACTCTTAACCATAGGAATCCTCTCTACCCTCTACCAACTTTATCTTTGTGTTGTCCTTGGACGAACTAGATAGAAGATTCACCTCCATTCCTTGTGGAAAATACGATACCCTGAATACTTCCAGGTGAAATGCTACAACGGTAATTCCATGCTTTTGCGGATCATTTCTGTATGCGTTAAGAAATACCAACAAGCATTTCTGGCGTCGTTGACGGGGAACGGTTGCTATTTTCTTTGAACCTAGTTCGTCCTCGTATCTGTATCCTTTCTTTTTATAAAAACAAAAATATCTTCTTTTCTTTTTCACTATGACATCCACTCCTATCAAAAACCATTCCGCTTCAATGGGGGAGTTCGATGAGCCACCACTTTCTCCAAAACCAAACCGTTCATCTGACTGTGAACTCCACCCTAGCTTGATAGCTATGGTTTGGACACAACCCTTCTCTTGGCTAGAAAGTGAAAACCCTTGCCATCACTTGCACGAGTTCGAGATGTGTTCATGCCTGAGCATCTCAGGCATGACACAAGAAACTCTAAGGTGGAAATTGTTTCCCTTCTCTCTCATGGGGAAGGCGAAGCAATGGTACATACATGTCGTACGAAGTAGGAATGGGGACTGGGAAGAACTCATAGACAAGTTTTATCTTGTGTTCTTCCCTATGTCTCATATCGTCTCTCTACCAATGGCAATCCTTGACTTTGAGCAGTACGAGAAGGAGTCTATAGGTGCAGCATGGGCTAGGTTTTCAATGTTAATATCTGATGACCTAGATTTGTCTTTACCTGATGGCGTATTGTTGCATCTCTTTTGTTTGGGTCTTGACATAGATGCTGACCTATGCCTAGACATGACGGCCGGAGGTCATTTTACACACAAACCTATGACAAAGCAAGTGAAATTCCTTGAAAACTTCCTAGAAAGCTACACTTCTCCTGTCATGAGAACTAGAACCCTCTAGGCAAAAGTCATGTCGAGTGTTGAGGTGTCCTCATCAGTCGAATCCAAACCCGTACCATCCCTATATTCGACTCATGAACCCTCACCCAAACTACGAATACCAAAGGAAAAAGTACTTCATCCTTCGGAGTTCCCTACCAAATTTGAGGATTATGGCAATACCTCGAAGATATCATAGCACAAAAAGCACACAAAGGTAGAGTGGAACCGTCAAAGGAATGGTTAATGGAAGTGAAACATTTTTCTAAAGTAATTCAGATTCTTTCACCTTCCACGACCATACCTTGCTCATTAAGGGGAACATACATAGAAGCCCTACACAACCCCATAGTCGGGACTAGTATCATGTTAGAATTCCTAGCGAAAAACCTTTTGGGTAACTGTTGGTATATTTTAACACACACAAATAAATCCGCAAGCGCACGGATACCGCTGTAGATTTCACGCGGAAGTATTCTAAGGGGGAAACATGTGAGACTAACTATGGTCTAACTTAACTAAGGGTAGCAACAAGGTTAGGATAAATAAGAGCGTAGAGAGGAAAACTAAGGTTCTCTAATTCCGACTTGGGTAAGCTATGTCTTCTACTATTCAACTGGGGACATTACTAGAGAAAGACAGCAGTAGAGGATGCTTTCCTTAGCCACCATGTCCTACGTGCCCTTACAAATAGGAGGTGGACTACAGAGGATTTAACGAGGCTATAAGAGTCACCCTTGCAGGCTACCACCGATCTGGAATGCAGGATGCATCCACAAGTAACCAAAGTCTAAGCACCACGCTTACACTACAATTACTACTTTACTCTTCCCGGATAAAGAATAAAGCACTCAAATGAGTTGTGAACTTGATGAATAATATAAACAAGAAACTTACTTGAATCGGAAGTTGATTACCAGAGAAATCTCAGAGGCAAGCTCAGATAGAACTTCGATCCGCCAAGGTACAAACCGTAGAGAGAGCACCAATAGACCGGTGCCTCCTCCAAACTCTTCCCTCACTCTCTATCTCACTATTTCTATTTATAAGACTAGATCCTATGGAGGACTAATCTTCTCTTGATAGCTAGCTCTGATCCTGATGAGGAGAATATGAATTAGGGTTTTAGGATGGCTCTAGGGAGGGGGTAGGGCCTAATATATATACGCCAGAGGTGGAGTAGGGGGCAAGGAATCACCACGTCATCAATCCACGTCAATTCCCTCAATCACCGTTTGATGCACCGACTATAAACCGCCTTAAATTAACAGTGAGATCTTGGAAACGCATACGAGGCGGCGGAGGGCAAAAGGATTCCGGAGCAGGTTGGGTAGCCTCCCTAGTGGGCCAGCTGGTCCATTATTGTGGCCATTTGGCCCAAGCTTCGGCGTGGTGTCTTCTAGAACCTTCTAGAGTTGTATTTCGCAGTTTTTGTGGGTTGATCACTTGTTGTCGTCAGTTTGCTTGTTTGGAGTGTATGACAGTTGTAAC